AAGATTCTTAATGCCAGAAAAACAAAGCTCCACAAACACTGATCCATTAATATTTGAACTGAACTTCACTTGATGCTGCAGCCATAGAAAATCCTCAACAAGGTTACAAAACATGCGTCCCAGTTTGATCCCATCTGAGATGAGCAATTAAGCACCATGGAGTCGGAAAACATCCCAGAGAGGAAGCAGTCTGCAGCTGCAGAGAAAGGAACAAACATTTTAGGTTGGATTGCAGCTCCTACAAACTGACTGACTCTACTGAGACAGACGCTTGACACACAAGCTTCCCGTTTGTTCAGCGATCCAGGCAGGTTGGTGACTTAAACAGGGAAGATGTACACAGGAAGTGACAGCTGAAAGACAAAGAATGCAAAACTGACACAAAGCAAGATGCTAAAGTACACCCACAACAACAGTCGATTTAGGATCACGGTTAACATGCCGAGCATCATTTGGACTGGAGAATCTGGAGCAGTGACAACATTGTAAAACAGAAACAAGAGTTAAATCAAGGAGTTTATGTGGCACATTTTGTGCAGAGAACAGAAGATTTCTTCAAGCTTTCCAACTAAAGAAAACAACAAAAGTGCTTTTTATTTTTGATGGCTGATTTTTGCCTTTATAATTCAGTGAAACATGTTTTAGCAACATCTGTTTGAATTACGTTCCAATATAAAAACCAGTTTGCATCCCTGATTTTTTTTTCTAAAGCAAAGGAAAATATTCATGTGAAATAACACAAAAGCTGATGCATTAAAATGCGAAGCGTTCTGAGCTGTGCTGTGTCTCCTCAAGGTGATCTGTCATGCTGCTTATTGCAAATGTCAAAACTGAGGAAACAGCAATTTTTTCAGAGTTTTTGCACATCAGACTGGGTTTCATTTTGAATCCCTGCTAACATGGAGACCTTCTTTCTCCTTCCTCTCATCCTATGAGAATCAGTTTGTTGCATTGCTGGTTTGGAAAGCAGTTGTAAATGTTATTAAATGTTTGGATTCTCGCCATAAATCAAGGCCAGCACATAATGTCATTTTTATTCAGCAGCAGAGGTTCCTTTCAGTCTTTGCCAGAGTAACCTCCCCTTATTCAGCTGTAGTGCATTGACCAAAGCAGCAATAAAGCAACTATTAGTCCAAATGATTTATTACTCTTCTGAAACATTTGACAACCCATATTTTTATTGAAATTCAAATATTCAGTGTAGCTAAAAGTTTATTTATCTTTATTCAGTTCTGTTCCATTTTAAAACTATTTCCATATTTTTAATTTTTGTGTCAATAGTTTAGAAAAATGTGATATTTCTCAGAGAAAACATTCCAAATGAATCCCATCCTACATGATCCCTTTTCACTTCTTTTGATTTTATCACATTAGAATTACAACCTTCAGTATTTTTTAACTTTTTATTCTAATAAAACTGGGAATTATTCAATATGATGAATAATTGGAAGTAAAATACCAGATTTATCATTTTTACAACAGAAAATCAGAAAGTGCATTTGTAGTTCGCCTCTCTGTCAGTTTGTTATGCGACTATCGACAGATGAAAATGTTTATCCATTTATCTTTCAAGCAGAACATCTGAAAACATCAACATTTTAATAAATTGTGAAAAGCTTCCAAAGTTTTCCTACCACTTTATAATGTATAAAACAGGTTTATGCTGGTCTAACGTGAAACAGACGAAGGTCAGTGGTTGTAAACACGGCGGTGAAAACGATTTCATCTCTTCTCCGTCCCAGCTGAGACAGCAGCAGAACGTAACCAGCTGATGGCTGTTTGAGGTCACTTTGGGTCGACATTAGTAATCTGTGAAATAGTTACTGGTGTGACCTTTGACCCTCAGTGTGAGATGTGACCCGTTAGGAGAGCCGGGCCTCTGGGGTCAGTTTTATTCTCTGTGTTTATGAAACTGTCTAAATCATTCCTCACTGTGCTAAAAACCTCCAGCAAGAACAAGTAGAGCAAAACTTTTTCCGTGTGTTCTTGGTGTTTGTGTAATCACGCTGTGGGGACTCGGCTCACACAATTACTCTTCGTGACTCATCTCTCAGCTGGGGATGAACAGCAAGAGCCCAAAAACTATTACATTTCTGCTTTTCTGCTGAGGTTCAGACAGACTGTGTGCCCATAAACAGAATGATAAATGTTTGTTTTCAGTCATATTCAGTAAATTAGAATACGGAAACCTTGTTTTTCTCATAACTTTATTAGTTCACGAATATATGTTTTGCATTTATAATACAAGTTATTTTAAGATTACATTCATTACCACAGACAGTTTCCTGTTTTCTAAAACAGCTGGAAGCTAAAGGTCAAAAGTGAATGTGTAAACCTGAAGCTTTTTTAATTATGGTTATTTTCTCCTCACAGCTGATGAAAATACTTAAAATATTAAGTCACTAAAAAAAACATATCACAGGAATCTGGGCTTAATGACAACAATTTTTGGCTCTTGGTTGCTGATTATCTCAAGCATTTGTGTTTCAATACTAAAGATCATCATGGAAAAATAGAACTGTGTGGAAGTTTATTGTAAATTATCTCATTTGACTGTTTTTAACCCAACACACATTATTCATTCAGAGTTGGGTTTCTCCAGGATTTCAAGGCACACGAGTTGAATGATGACACATTCAAATTGTAGTTTTTATTTAATAATTCATGAACAGTGTAGCGCAGAATCTTATTTGTACCCCGAATGGAGTGAAATAAGCAATAAATAAATAAATAAACAGAAATCATATAGCAGAGCAGGTCTGCACTGGGTTCCACATTTGGAAACAGAGCCTGAAATAGGGAGAACGTGGCACACATTCTGGACAACAAGATCTAATCTGGAGGGTTGACAGGCAGAGTAATAAACGTCTGATTCATTCCCAATGATGGACAGCTAATTTACTTTCAACATCTCAATGATTAATCCCCCCTGCAATGTATTTTTATAGCTTTAACTGCCATAAAATAGACAAGGCACTGTTGAAGGTCTGAGTAATGGTGGCAGGTTTTCAAATTAGAGTTCATGTCCCTCCTCAGCGTGAGCAGCAACACTAGATGCACAGAGGAAGGCGTGGCACATTTCCAGGACACTAATGTGAAACAAAAGCTTCTGAGAGGACTTTCATTTGCAGCCTCTCCAAGCTCACTGCTGGGTATTTTTATTGGCAGATGTATAAGCATAAAAGCAATTAAAGAGCGCCTGTGGGGTGAGCGCTAGGTGTAGCCCAGACTCATGTGTGAACAAGGTGTTTGCTTAGATTAAGTACTGGTGTTCATTTTCACTTATAAATCTTGTTGATGAGACTCTGGGGTTTTTTAAATAACATAGTTCTTGTTTGGGACACTGTGGCAATTAGAAAATTAAACTGGCGGGTAAAAGTATTTCTTAGGTTTAATTTATGTTTCTAATAAAAAAAAACAATTTATTTAAAAGCACAAACTTTGTTCAATGTGACCTGATAGTTTCAGATAAAATATAAATAGGTTGAAGATTTTTTGTGCCATTCTTTCTTCACAGTGATCACATAGGAAATAGAGAGAAGAGTGATGTGCTTAAGGTTCAAAGGTCAGAAGCAGCCGCCACTGCTTCACCATTACCCCACGATCCGCCCTTAATCACAGTATTTAGGTGATCCCTGAGCCTTCAGAAGCAGTTAATTGGTTCTTCTGCAACAGGTATCAGATGAATCACCAGGCTGGCCTGGCAGATCATTTAATTAGCGCCCAAACTACAGCCAGCGTCGCCTCCTGCAGGCGCGTCCTGCAGGCGCGTCCTGCAGGCGCGTTCTGCAGACGAGTTCTGCAGGCGCGTTCTGCAGGCGCGTTCTGGCTCCACGGTTCTGGTTGACGCCTCATCAGCCTCTTCCTCCCAGCAGCATTCAGTAGCAACATTTCACCTAACCTGCAGTTCTCCAGACCTGCAGCTTCATCCAGAGACAGTAAACAATACAGCTTGTGCCATCGTGGACATGGGCGATGCCTTATGACCTCTACACCAAATCATCATGATTCCCAATGCTGCCAACTCAAAAGCTTCAGAATTACATTTCTCAACATGCAAATCATCCTCCAGAGACAAAGAGAGCAACATCTCCAGCACTTTTTCATCTAAAGTATCACATGTTGTCTTTGTCTTCATCTCTACTGCCTCTGCCAGCATTATCATGTCTCTCAGTATATTCTAGAGGATCATAATTATATCCACCACCCTCTTCTGGGCATCATCATTATTATTAATATCCAAATGATTGGGTTCAATGTGATGAATTATGAATATGTGTAAAAAGGGCAGAAACCATTCCAGCAATTATGACCAGCTTTTCAATTTATATATATTTACCATCAACATCATTTGTAGAGATGATTTAGTAATTTATTTTACATAACAAATGAACATAAACAGCATCTTGAAAGACTTGATTGTCTCACTTCAGATTATTAGTAGATGCTACAATCTTCTGTTTGCAAACTTACAAAAATGTGAAATTCAAATCAGGTCTGATGTTGAGGAAAAGATGCTGACAAATGAATAATTAATAAGTATAAGAATCTTCAATTACAAAGTCAGTGACAGTCATAAAACTCATGGTTTGAAAATAAAAGTGCTAAAAGTCGAGAATCGTTGCTGGTGCTGCATCCTGCTGCTTGTTGGTTTAAATCTCCACAAAGAAAAAAGTCTTTCAGAGTTTATTTCAGCAATGATAATTGTTTCTAGCAGGATGATGAGTGTGTGGGAGTTTGTGGGTTAGCAGCTTGTTTTGTCATCTGGCACAGGAGCCATTTTTCAGCTCAATTAAAACATGTGCTGTGTTGAACTGCACCGCTAACTGTGTTCATATTGGACTGGAAATGGTTCTGGGCTGATCTTAAGACGACCGCTTACGATCACATAAGGTCATATGATACGAGTCTTGGCTTTTTATTTATGTATTTTAACCTTTTAAATTTCAAGCTGGGCTGATGATGAAAGGCATAAGAGCAACGTGTTTCTAAAACAATACCTTGGTGCTTGTAGATACTTCAGATACTGTTGAGCTGAAGTGTGATCGGACGCCCAGCAGGATTGTCAGCGTTTCTGGACATCATGGTTGACGTCCAGCAGGAGTCCACCCGCCTCGCCATCTAACGCATGAACACGGCGACGGCAGAGGAACCTCCTCTACGCGGATGATGATGTGCTGTCAACCCAGAACAACCAGGATGGCAAAATTAAAAGCAAACCTGGAACAACTGACTGAAAGAAAAAAGCATAACATTGAACATCAACGACACTGAATAACTGAAGAGCCGACAAGATGGATGGACAGGAGCTGGTCAAGAGCACAGAGTTCAAATTCCTGCTCATTTCCAAAATAGACAAAATGTTCGATGTCAAAGGCAGAACCAACGCAGCGTGGCTTAAGGCGCAGCCACACCAGCTGTTTTTAGTCCACTTTATCAAACTCTAATTCATTTGCCTAGAAACTGTTTCATTTAGTGAGGTGTGAATGCAGAATCAACCGAAAAGGCGAAGTCTGGTTCGCTTACGCCAATGAAAAGCTGTTGGATCCTGGATTTGTCTCAAACCTCTGAAACAATTCAATCAGATCTAAAGGTGGCAGCTTGGTTGACATGCTGAAATTTGGACAAATTTGGGTTAGCAACTTTAACATTGACTACAGTCTTTGTAGTCCCATTTAAATAGAGTACAAAGACTGATGAGAAAGCAAAGACTGATGAGAAAGCTGGTCAAACATTTTGCTGGTTATCTGGCAAAATGGAGTCTTGTTAATAGCTACAAAAAGTGTGTGTTTTCTCCAAGACATTCTCAGGGACATTCATCCAAATATTCATTTATGCGACCAAGTATTTACTCCACTCTGGCAGGCGCATTGTTCAAACACATCATTAAAACCAGAAAATGACTAACAACTGCCTCTTTAATGTCAATGCAATCATGTTCTAAGTTGTATTCTCAGCATACAAATGAAGCCTCTGGTCCAGGCCAAATCCAGATAAGTTTCAGCACCAGATATATTCAGGGATGTCAACTGAAACATTATTCAGACACAAACATGTGCCTGATGTGCAAGAGCTGCAGTTATTGCAGAATTATTTACTCGTAGTTGAAAAAGCTTAGTTACGTAAGTGCCACAACATCAGAAGTCAAAAACTTCCCATAAATCATTAACAGGCTCATGGAGCTCATTGACAGCTGCAAACAGTCAGTGAAGCTTTTAACCCTTATCTTCTTAAGTCGCACGTTGTGTGCATAATTGCCATACTGTTACATTCTGTTGAGCAGGTGGGATTCCTGTAATTAAAGGAAATAAGACTGTTGATACTAAAAACTGAAATGTTCTGGCAACTGTCAGAAATCAGGGCAATAAACTGATCCTGATATTTTGGTGTCAGGAAAACCTCCAGAGACCGAAATGTGCCTCCTTCGAAATAATTTGAAATTAGCTGGCAGCTGAGCCAAATTTAGCAGTTGATTTTTACATAATCAGGTTTGTCAGAAACTGGGAGAGAGAAAACAAACAAGGGGGAACTCCACAGCTGTAAATCCTTCACATTTTTTAGACAACAAGGTTTTTATTTTTAGTGTATATCAGCAATAGCATACACCTTCTAAAAATATGTAACCACCAAATACATGTACAGTTATCCAGTATCTAATCAGACTAAATCAATTCAAATGCTTCCTGTTTAATTGAATACAACTACACACTGTCCAGCTAATATAAAGTCAACTGGTGCTATAATGCCAAACAGCAGAAGGATTCTATCTAATGCAGCCCAACTGATTGCATCTGGTTATTAACTTTATTGCAATTCTTCATCCTCAGTCAGCATGTGGCAGCAGCTGAGAGGAAAAACTCTCCACTGCTGTCTGGAAGAAACATCCAGACACAAAAGCAATGAGAACTTACAGGAAACATGGAGGTCAGGTCAGCAGTGGCTCAGTGACACAGCTAAAAATAGCTTTCATGATATTTATATCTTTTGTGTCTTCAGTATGTTGTTTGGTGTGATATTTTAATGATTCTTTTACAGCAGTTTTTTACAGCAGTCTCAGTTCAGTCCGACCCATTCCCTTGATCTCTGCTCGCCCAGAGCGGCGCCTCCAAGAACTCAGGAAACCTGCTGTTCACCTGAGACATTAGGTTGTTTCTCTGCCATCAGCTCAGCTGCAGCTCAACAATCTGAAACCTGAGCAGCACATACACACGCTTTACTGGCAGTGCTAAGACACTGGCTGTGATTGGTCGTCATGCATTTCTGTAAATGGTAGTGGGATTGATTTTTGTCACAGATTATCTCTGTTATTCTAGTGTCAGAATGTAGTTTTAACAAATATGTAAAAATACACTCTTGTAAAATTTACCATCTGGAGCTTTAATTCAAAGTGTGTTTTATATTTGACTCTAACTCTACCTGTGAAAAACAGATATGTTTTACAACTGCTGCTTTTTTGAACAGGTTTTTATTCACATAAATTTAAATAATTTTTATCTTTTGAAAACTTTGAATGGACGGCCCATGCTGGAGTCTATCAGCGGAGCCTCTCCTGACTGCAGTTGGTCCAGAAGTCGGTAGTCCCAGTTCTGACACGGCTGGTGAGAACAGCACAAGGCATTGTGGGATGCCCCCTCCCGGACCTGGACTCTATTTACATAGGCCGGGTCAAGAAGAGAGCTGGATCCATAGCCATGGATTCCAGCCACCCGGGCCACAGACTGTTTGTGCCGCTGCCATCAGGCCAGCGGTTCAGGAATATACGGACTACAACAAACAGACTGAGAAACAGTTTCTTCCCCACAGCCGTCAGAGCCATTACTCCCTGCCGCCCCCTCCCACACATATCATAACCTCACATACACCCCTCACCCCCACACAGCCATATTGTTCTGCACTTGCACTGTCACATCATCTGCACTTTACCATAATTGGACCTGCTGCTTCTTCTTTGGTGTGGTTGAGTGTCTTTAGTTAATTTTAGTTGTATATATTATTATTATTATTATTGTGTGTTTGTTTATTTAATATTGTATTTTTTGACTTTTTGCACGGGAGTTGCAATAGAAATTTCGTTGAATCCTGTTCAATGACAATAAATGCTATTCTATTCTATTCTATTTCAGAATTGATTTCAAAGCTTTATTGGTGACTTAGAAGGCAGTGAACAGACATCTGCCTGACCTCCTGCAGCCTTTTGTGACCCCCAGACCTCTTGGATCTAATGATCACTTGCTCAGCAGTTCCAAGGTCGAGACAGGCTCATGGAGGTGATTGAGTGTTTAAGGTTGTAGTCCCTAAACTGTGTAAAAAACGGCTCCTACACATCAGACAGGCCTCACTGTTGATGTTTTTAAAACTTATTTAAGAATCCATTTGACCTCACTGGCTTTCAATGCAGCATGAGAGACATGGCTGCAAATCTCAAGTTCTCCGAGTTGTTGAAAACTTGAAAACATGGAGGAGGTTTAGATTCTACTTCTGATTAGGTCTCCAATGTTGCATTCATACTGATGCACAGTTTTTATTTGCTAAGAAAGTACATAAACCAAAGAGTCAATTTTTCATTTTAGCATACCATATCTCATCATCTCTTTAATGCAAACGCTAAACACTTTAGCTAAAAATAAAATAAAGTGTGAAAGATGCATATACTGCTAAAATCCATAGGCTTTGCAAGTCCAAGTGAGGAAGTTGCAGATGAAGCGCTCTCAGTCAGACACAGCAGATGGCAGGCTCAGTTTGAACACTTTCCCACTTCAACAGTTGTCCCCTCCAACTCCGCCTACATCTAAGTCAGCAAACTCACCCTGAACTTTACATATCCAGCCCAGATGATGCTGTGGATTGCTGGCCTACTTGGATGTGGGAGGAGTTGGACTTTCCAGTCCAAGGGTTTCAGCAAGACATCCTTAACTGGCTCAGTGGATGGATGAAGACTAGAAGGACACATGAAGTCACAACTATTTAGACACTTAGTGAGCTCAGTCTGTTGAGCTGGCTCCAAAGACTGCACACAGCTATTAACTGTTTTTATTCTGCATAAATAAAATATACTTTAATATTTAAGTATTTTGGCTTTCAACTGTGTCCATTGTTTTCACAAAACAACAATATTTATCTCTTACTCAAAAACTCTAACTGCAAAACTGAAAAAGTGCTCTTTTAATGCTGACTCTTTAATAAGATCCACAAATGTCACAACAACATGTTGGTTTTTAGCAATAACCCATAAAATGTTGATTTTACAAATAAAGACACCAAAACAAAGTCCTTTGTGTGAGAACCGTTTCAAAACGTGCAAAACACAATTATAAGTTCAAAGTGAACTCAGCTAGTCCACTAGCATTAGCATTAATGAGCCTCCAGAAATATGTCCAGTTTCTACACAATACTGATCACAAACTGCATAATCTGACTCACTAGTCTATCCCACAACTTCCCCAACTATTAAAGGAAACTAATATATAAACATACATATTTGCATTGAAATGCATTTACACTGACCTGTGATATATAAATGATGAGACACACGTCGAGCTTTCTTTAGCATCTAACAGGAAGGTTTATTCTTCTTCTGTGTGACCAACGTTTCTGTTCCACCAATATGCCAGGCGCCCCCCAGCGGTTGTATGTGGAAATGCACCAAATAACTGCAATAACTTATTACTTATTACAACGAGGAGTTAAAGACAGAGAAAGAAAAATAATGTTGAAGTGCCTATTTTTATACTTAGTGTTTTCATTATTTATAACAGCTTGTTTTAACTCCCCTACACACACATCTACACAAATATTATTGCATCAATATTTATATTTTTGTATTTATCAAAATACTTGTAGATAAGTACAGATACAGATTCTGCCATTTCTTTATCTGTCTGATTAGAACACCAACAAAATGATTATTTCTGCACATCTTAACCTAATAAACAGGAAAGCACAGTTACCTGAGGGATGGCCAATGACACTGCTGATTGATTTAGCATTATGCAGCAGGAGAGATGTAAGACTGATCTCTTTAATTTTCTCAGTTAAACATGAACTTCCTGTTTAAGTTAACGTTGTTGTTTTTTTTGCCTTTGTCTGAAATGAAGCAACTTTGTCCTTTACCGATTTTGGCTAAAGTGTGTTTGTATTTTTCAGACTTGAACTTTACAACTGAATATCATCTCTCTTTACAGAGAAATATGAAGCTGTGGCTTTTGAAATAACTCCTGCAGCGGCGCTGACAGATGCACATAGAGAGACATCTGGAGGAACCGCTGGCTTTTATAGAGCTGAGACCCTGCTGGACTTTATTAGTGTTTGTCTGAAACCATGTGAGCTCTGGACACAAACATGTTTCTAATATATTTATAGAAGTTAATATATGAGAAAAGTGTAAAGAGATAAAATATAACATGGAGTTTCGGCCCATCAGTTAAGCAATAATGCGTCAGAATCAGCTTTAGTTATGATTGTGGGAACAAAGTTGGAAGTTGACTTTGGCTTTCAAGCGCTCACAGCATACAGACATAAAGTCTAAACATTAAACCTTAGGGGAAATAAAATAAAGATGAAGGATCAATATGTGCATGTATTTGGAGCCATTTTAATAAAGAAAGAAAAGAGAAGACTTGTGACAGTGCAAATATGCTTAATTGTTTCCCAGCAGAGTAACTGACTATATAGGCAATGCAGTTTTCATTGTGTTCATCAGCCTGGGGGAAGAAACTTTAGGGTTTTATTTATTTATTTTTTATCAGAAATCACCACTCAGAAGGTAAAATTCTGGACACTTTGTGTCCAAGATGTGTGGGGTCTGCAGATGTAAATTTGTAAATGTTTTCTTATTTCCGACTGTTTGTGATGTTCCTCTCTGGTTGTTGAGGTGATATTTTCCCTCAACAATATTTAATAGAGATTAAAAGAAACCAAAACAATAAAAGTCTGAGCTGAAGTATTTTATTTTCCTTCATCTCCATTTAGTCCCCACTGCTGAGTTTATAACGACGGTTCTTTATGCAGCTGTGATTTTAATAAATAGGATATTGATTTTTGTGAAATTGGACCCCAACTAAGACAACAGCTGTGCTTTCACATCTAAAAATCTTCTTGTTGTTCCCCTCTGTCAGATTTATTTCATAGTTTATTTACTGCTGGCCGAAAATAATCACAAAAAAACCAAAACAAAAAACAAAACAAGTTGCAACAAGATTTATTAGAGCTTCATATCACTGAAACTGCCAATGCAGGGCCTGAAAGCAGGTGTTGCCTTTTATGGAAACGTCCTGCTTTGTTCAGTGGGAAATGTCCATTTCCTTTCGTTCCCATTATAAATGAGGTTTAGGTCCTGCATGCAGTAGCAGTCAGTCCACAGAGAAATGAGCACATATTTACTCCCTCTATGAAGAGGCTAACCTCAGCAACCCCCAGAAAGCCGAATTATATCTGTGTCATAACGAATGGGAGGTGGAGAAATCAGGACACCAGGAGGCCAAAGATGAGACAAACAAAAGAGTTCAATTAAACTTTCAGGTGAAAGAGCTTTGAGGCAACAGTGAGAAATAGATTTTAAACCTGGTGTAACATAAGCAGAAGAAATGGGAACAAGGCACACAGGACAATAATCTGGATGAACAACAGAAGGAAGATAAGAGGGAGAAACACACTGATGCTTAACAAGTCTGACTCCTACAAGGAAAACTGAGATTACAGTTGATGCTTAACAAAAATACAAACAGTACAGAAGAAACAAGAAAATATCAAAATTCACAAAGTAAAAAACCGTGTAGAAGCTTTGAAGTTAAATAATAGATTGAAGCTCTTTGGTTGTGTTTCTCGCTTCACGTCTGCCTGAAAAAAACTAAATTGTAGAAAGAAACACTTTAAGAAATAAACACAAAACAATTATTCATTTTAAAATGGCAGAAAATAACCTGGTGTATTTCACTGCCATCCAAAAGTATTGAATCTGGTGTGTATTGTACCAAGACAACTTAAAGTCCTGAATCAACTGTTTGGAGCTAAAAAAGCTTTTAGCCCTTTGACTAAAACTTGAATAACAGAGGAAAATGTACTGACTGTTATTTATTTATGTGCTGACAACAAGCTTCCTTCCTGTCTTTCTCTGACAGCATCAAGACAATTTAACTGCAATATTGTAACTAAAACTTGTTATGAACCACATTTCCAGAACATTTTTCAGGCTGTAGATCTGTATAATTTTTCATAACTTTATGATATACAGCAGGTGTGAACACTGAGGAAATGCTCACCAGCTTGATGATCAAGTAAAGTTTGCTAAGCAAGATGATGGTGGAGCATCATTCAGACGCCTTATTTTCTGATTGCGTTGAAGTGTAAGGCAGACGTGCAGCGGTGGAGCAAAGTGGTAAAATAAAATGACGTCCAGGTGGAAAACTGACCACGGTCAGTGAGTTTCTATGGAAATGAGCTCATGTGGAGTTTTTGGTACCCAGACGATGATGTTACTGTATTCTGAAGTTCACTGACATTAATTAAGTTCTGTGGAAGAGTGGAGGCTTGTTGTTCAGAATCAGTGGTCTCTCCCTCACAAATAGACGTTTCCCAGCAGCCTCGTTGCTGTAATACCTGGTGAATGCCCACAGGACTCCCAAGGTTTTCCTTTAGTGTGTCTGTGCAGCCAGGCGGGAACGCAGAGCTCCTCTGCTTCCAGTCTTGTCTGCGTCGTTTGAGATCAGATGCAGAGAGCTAACTGGCAGTGAGAGCTGGAAGGATGATCCTCTGTGAAGGTCATTCGCTCATGTCTCTCCTCTGACTGCTCTTCCGAGAAAAGAGGAAAATGAAGTATCTGTTTCCTTTATATGTTTTTTTCTGTTCGCAGAGATCCTTTTCAGTTTTACCTTTGGGTGTTTTCACTTTTCAGTGAGAAGGAGATGATGGGAGGGCCCAAACAGCTTTAAAATCCTGACCTCACTCTTCACACAAAGGAAGGAGAACAACTGAAGACTCCTTGGCCAGACTGGGCACTGCAGAGAGGACCAGCGCTCCAATTCAGCTGTCAGTTACCTAAACTAACAATGGTCTTTCCCATTATTCTGTCCAGCTGTGGAGGGAAACGTTGTTTTCCTCCGTGAGCATCACTGAGCTTTTCTTCCACAGCATTTCTCCCCTGGAAGCTCTATTCCTTTTCTTTCTTTAGAAAATATATATTCTTTTATCTGGTGCAGAACTCAAACTCACTTTATCTTAATTTCTTTGAAACTAAGGCAGCTTGAATGTCAAACCATGTTTTGCTAAGATGTTACTAAAATGAGGAATACTAGCAAACTTTAAACTTCAGTTTTTCATTTTGCTGTAAAACAGATTGAGCCTTTATCTGTCTCAGCAGACACATTGCAGTTCTCACACTTATGTTTCTCATTCTGTGACATTTTCTGTGAATGAGCTTGTGATTTAGTGACTTTCTTTCATGACTTGTTCCCTGCTGGGTAATGATCGTATCGCTCAGGGTTGAATCCCATCAGTCATTCACCGCATGCATCAGTCAGAGCAAATCCAGGTCCAGAAGGAGGCTCTCGCTTTGGGTCGCTTTCCGTCAGGAAACTCGTCATGTGGATGGAAAAATCACGTAAAAGGAAGTAATCTTATTGGTCAGGCTGTGCATTTCTTAAAGCTTCATGATGATCAGCAGAGCCAGTTTCTAATTTGTTGAACAAAATTAAATACAACTGGTTTGTTTCACCAAGATATTAAGAACCCAAACTTTGAACTTTTTGTTGAAAGCAGGAAGGCTTGTTTACTTACTCACATAATGTCACTAATGATCAATGCAAGCAGATATGTGAACATCTCCAATCGACTACATTTGTGTTGTTTTGAAGTCTTTGCATTAATAAATACATCTGCAGTCTAGATCAGCTGATCTATGATAAACAAAAACAAGATTCCTTATAAATGAAATTAATCTGATTTTAAGTTCATTTCAGATGTTTTTTCAACATCTCAGTGTTATGAACTTAATTCACAGTCCCAGACTGAAGTAGTTTTTATAACATGTAATATTTAAAAATATATAAATCATGAGATCAATAAACAAATTGGTTATGCCATCACTTACATTTAAACCTTCATTAATGTCAATTTAACGGAAACTTTTTAAGCTCTTATTCTCACTCACAAAAACTATTTTGTGTTGTTTTCAGTTTTTATTTCGTCTGTTTTCAGTTTTATTCTTCATTTATATTTTCAGAAAGAAAAGCAACTGGGAAACATTACTAGAATGAAGAAACATGACAACATGTTGACTGAAATCCTGACTGTTTAAAATCTTTACTTAAACAATTTGAAGACAAAGACTGGAGGCTAAACTCAACTCCCTGAAAGAGTCGAGACAAAATGTATGAAACTGTGAGTTCATCTCTGTTTCTCTGCTGTTCAAAGCACAGAGGAAGGTTTGGTTTCATTTAGAGCAATGGAAGAGACATAGATCATCAATAACAGATCCTCACACATAGAAAAACTCAAGTCACAAAATGGGTTAATGCTTATGATTATTAAAATGAATTTATGATTAATATTTATAGTTATATTT